GTCTAGGCATAATCAGCATTCTGATAACTTTTTCTATACCGTTAACTATAAAATAGCCTCCCATTTCCTGACAAGAGAGAAAGTGCTTTAAAAATTAATTCACCAAAGTTCAAAGATCTGAGTACAGAGAATCTGTTATACAAGAAACAAAATGGAAGTGAGACAAAATTAGCTCTTATTGGACTGTAAAATACACACCAACTTTTTTATATGTGTGGAATACATGGCAAGTTGTATTGGCATGCACTTGGGATGCATGCATGACTCACACATTTCGGAGGTCATCCCAAACAAGTGCCAATAAACCTGTCATACTATTATAAGCTCTGTATATTCCATGTATTTTACAAAAATAACTATTTTAGTGGTGTTTAAAAGAATTATTGGGACTATTTCTTGTATCCGTCCACCTGTAAAGCCAGATGCACTAGTTACACTAAGTCCAACTGTAGAGGATGCAGAGAAAATGAGAAGACAAGACAGTAAATTAAAGAAACCTCTAAAATGAGCTATAACTACTTTAGTGTACATGGAAATATCACAATTTTAAAATACCATATCTTGGGCCCTTTCAGAGCTACTACCAAGTACTATCTACTAAGAAGCTAACCTTTCCAAGAGTAAAGTTTCTGTTCTGAGGGATATAAAATATTGGATTTAAAACTTTCCCCTGATCGGAATACTCCCTTTCCCCACACGAGGTCTCTGGGTAGCAAACTGGCGGAAGAAAAGCCCTATTCCACATTTAGAGAAAAGAACACGATTGTGTGTCCAACTGATTTTTTTTAAAATGGCAGCTCTTTGAAGCCACCTGAAATATCCGACAAAGCCTCAGGTGAGATGCATGACTGTGCAAAGTACAGGAGAAGTGGCCAAATACGCATGATACATGCACATTTATTGCATGGCTTTGCAATTTAGCACGTGCACGACGCTAACATCCAATATAAAAATTAATTCCAGAGAAAATTCTCTTCACCTTTACATGTTTGTTCAAATTACAATGAATGTACAATCAAAGTGAATTATAAAGATGCATGAGACGTGGCTCTGGGCCTGGCAATAACAGAGTATCATTGTAGATTACACGGACTGCAAACAGACTAATTGATCATCCATTTGGTTATTTACTTTGATTGTAAACTGAAAAGAAATATTACACTTTTAATGAAAAATGACAGCACTATAGGGTTCTGTATCCACATATTCAATTTATCAGACAGAGCAGATAAAAAAGCCACAAAAGCAAAAGGGAACCCAAAAGTAATGGAGAAGTCAAGTCTATGGTTATGAAGGGGATATGTATCACCCCCAAAGAGCCCTACTGTAAGAGTCTCACCATCAGCCAGGGTCCCCAGTACCACTGCTTAGCAGTAGCTGGCAGCTAGGGGCAGAGTGCGCTCAAGCCTTGAATTCTAACACCGAGACCAGAGAACAGAAGCAGCCCTGCGTGCCTCCAGAGGAGGAGAAGGATAGTTTTCCGGAGGCAGCTGCACATCTGGAAAGTAACATCTAGTACCAGTAATGGTCACTGCCTGCATGAACCTGAGGTACTCCATGAGCTTTTACCTTCTCAAGATGAGGGCTATAGATATCCCAAAGGGCAAATAACCTGAAGCCACCTTGAGGTCTGAGACTTCTGATCCCAGAGAAACTACACAGAATCTTTATGAATGGTGTAAAATCAGAAAATATGCCAGATTGTGCTTCTAAATAGATATGCTAAAATCCTTCAAGCTAATGTAAAACCCACTTCCCTTGCCACATGGTAAAGAAGATATTCCTGCCAAAATCCACTGTTACCTCCTCTTCTTCATGGTGTTCAATCAGAGCTCTGGGAGGAAGACTATGCAGATTGCAAAGTTTAGATTTCACCATGATTGGAACATATCCCAGGGACTGTTTAATAATCCCTTTAGGAATGCCATTCACTGACCAGCTGATGTCAGCCTATAGAGAAACAATACATCAAATTATTAGGAAAGTTAAAACACCACAGATAATGATAAAATATAGCTAGCTGTCTTTAGAGAATGAGCTACATTACAACATTGTATGTTCAATACAAAACCATAAATAGCAAAAAAATATTATACTGTCTGCAAAGAAAACAACAGTAATTAGTTATAATGCATTATATATAAACTATAAGAATTATACATACAAATTATATATTATAGTGGATGCATGGTCACGTCTACTACAGTTCAGGTTATGTTGGGACTTTCTTTATAATTCCATTTTTGTTCATTTATAATGTGAATAAAAATTTCCCATGTTTTGTCTGCATGAAGTGAGGATTAAGACTCTGGGGTTGTTTTTCTTTGCAAAGTTTAAACAAAATTACAAAAGTTATGCAAGGATGAACAAAACTCTTACAATGGCGGAATTAAAATACTTTTTTTCCCTACATAACAACTTAGGAAGGTCCTACTGTTATTTACAAACCCCCAAAGTATTAGTGCTTATAATGTTTATAGCCTGGCAGGAGGCAGAATAACAGACTCATACATCGGTGTGCTGGTATTTTTAATCTGTATGCAATGTTAATTAGGTAAAACTTCACAACAGTTTCACAAAAAAAACCAAGAAGAATTATTTTGTATTAGTGCTATGGCTCTCTCTCCCCGGAAAATCAGATTGCCTGTTCAAGTCTCTTACTGCTGCTGAAGTCATACTGGAATTCCTGTTCCTGTAATGAATTGGAGCTAAAGCATACCAATAAATTGGAGGAAAAAAACCTCAGATTTCAGTAAGGGGAAAAGATAAATACTTTTTTCTCCTTAAATATACACACATCTGGAAATCTGTCTAACTGCAACTACTCAGACAGGCTACAAAACCAGAGAAAATAAAAAAAATGATCACAGTGGAATTCAGCAGAGGGGTGATGGAATGAATTTAGAGCAACCAGACAAGACAAAAATTGCTATTAGATTTATCTATTCTGTTGATATAGATTTATCTATTCTGTTGATAATTCAGGGTCAAAAATTAATTTAAGTTAATCTGACACTTAATCTTCTTAAGCACAAGGAGTTTATGAAGTACAGATGATCTCACGAAGTGTTAGAAAAGTGCATGGTTTAGTAGTCTCAGCAAAGGACTGGGAACCAGGAACTCATGGTCGAAGTCACTGACTCTATATTGTATTTTTGGGCAAGTTATAACATCTCTATCTGTAAGAAAGGAACAGTATCTATTCCTGCCTCAAACAGCATTGTCAGGGTTAGTTAACTGATGTTCCTAAACTGCCTTATAGATTAAAAAAAACAGGAAGCTAATGATTCTCTTTTGGTCACTGGTCCTGAATTAGTACTCAGAATTTCTTCCTGGTCCACTAAATGTCTCTAGGTTTCAAGATGTCACCTTTTAAAAACCACATCCCCCGCGCCTCAATTTCAATTCAGATATCATATTAGTAAGTAATATTTTATGAACCATTAATTAAAAATTAACGTTTTGTGCCATTTGAAAGCTGGGATTTCAGCCTTTCATGAGATACAGATTTTGCGGTGTCTGAATGTTCTCAAGTCAGCAATCTCTGTCTATACATGGAAACTGAAATGGGGGAGAGCAGAAGCAAGAAAGTTGATTCAGGGTCTAATATGGCTCTCCTCGTACAGCACGCAGGGCTCTTTCCAACGTGGCAACTGGGAGAGAGAGGTGTGATATTGCTCTCTAGGGAGTACTCCTGTACACGTCAACAATAGTCCAAAGTCCCACATCAACCTAAACGTTAATTAAAAAAAAAAAAATCCAGAGAAAGGGAACCCGATGTATTCTACAAAAACAAACTCAGTCTTATCTTGTGCAAGTCTCCCCACTTTCTCCTTGTCTGATATGTCCTATGTATCACACCTAACCTAAATTGCAAACTTCTAGGGTTAAGGACAGCATCTTCATTCTCCCTGCAAAGAGCCACGCACACCTATGACTAAACATATACTGTGACAGATATGGCAACTTGCTACAGTATCTTTGGGAAAATCTTACTGAACTAAATGTAAGTATCTTTGGGTTCAATTGTATTAAATGAACGGATTATGTATTATTGTGGGCTGGGACTGAATGTTACCTCTTGAGGGAGGAGATGTGAGGCCTCGGGTTTCAAAGGACTATACTGATCATTGTGCCAGACAATAATGGACTTTTGAAACAAGAAGTGTTAAGTGTTTTTCCTGGGAAATATCTGGGAGGAGGTAAATACAAATTCCCCACCTCCGGTTATGCAAAAACCCAGTCTTTTGAAGCTACACCCTGAAAAGGGGGCCACTGTCTACAGATAACCAGTTACATGAGGCCAAGATCAAAGGTCCAAGATGTATAAAGGAAAGACTGAACTACTCACGGGGTGTTCATAGGTTCTTTTATTGTTTTTAATACGTTTTTACCTTAAATGTGCTTGCTTACAAAGACCTGTGTGGTAACTTATAACAGCAGGTTTTTTGTTTTGTTTTGTTTTTGTTTTTAGCAGCGATTATGCTGTTCATAGCAAAGTGCAGACACTGACCTATTTAGGTGGTCTGGCTTGCTGAGATATAACAGGGTAGGCAAGCATCTGTGCAGCCTGGAAAAACCCGGGTCAGGAGGGAGAGTGACATGGGTCTCTGCCAAAGAGAGGTGATGGGTGAAGCGCCAAGAGCCTAGGGTGGGTGCCCTTGAGGGACAATGAAGGGGGAATACGGGTACAGTTGCCCTGAATGGTGACATATACAAATATTTCTTTAATAGCTATCAATATCTCTGGTGTTTTCAGGTGTAGAAACAAATGCCAGACATCATTGCAAAGCTGAGACTCATGACTTCCTGGTGGCATAAGGCAATGGTCCTCCAACTTTTTTCATTCTGTAGGCCCTTTTGTAAAAGAAAGATCTTCTCATGGATGTACCTCCTCTACTAACATCCCAGTTCCCCACAGTATGGTTCCCAAAATGTTTCATTCAAAGTTCTACTGGTGATCCATAGACCAGCTGGAGAACATGTGGGAAAAGGCATTTATTTACAAGTTAATGGTTTATAAGCAACTATAGCACATACCAAACAGT